CCAAACAGTGACTTTTCGGGATGCATTAAACGCTCTTGGATCTAATGTGGATTGGTATCGTCCAAAATTCAATAATTATGTTTGTTCACGTATCCTTTCATCTAGAAATGGGTCTCATCACTGAGGATGGTCAGATTAGGGTCAGATTTTTACAAATACTGGAAGCACGGAGATTGGTTGATAATTGTTCAAATCATTTCTTTGCCACTTTTATATACAGGCGAAACCTTTCATTATATTTGAATCTATTCCACTTTCGAAGGATACGGAAATGATATGGAATAAAATTGGCAATACTTCAGTTCTCACTGCTTTTACAATTCTCACGGAGATTTCATCAAATCCACATACTTTGTTAGCATTGAATTAATCAATAATATCCTCTATTCAAGATATTTCAGTTTCCAAAAACATAGAATGAACAATTGAAAAGGCATTAGATATTTTTGTTGTATTAGGGGTTGTATTCAATAGTTTATTGAAACCAAATGGTGATCAAGTGCTTCACAGTTGATTTTCAATAACTTTTAATTTTCTCATTAATATGAGTTGAATTATTCAATGAAGAATTTATACCTTTCCACGATAATTTTGTGGTCCAGTTGCTGAATTTCCTGAATCAGGGAATTCCTTTTGTTATTGAAGTATTCATTGCGTTCTTCAGTCAACTTTGCCAAGTGATTGTCAAACCGTGGCTTTGATGTTTTCAACGAGTGTATTTGTTATAAATTTGTATCATATCTCTTTTTTCTTCATTCGTGAAAGCCATTTTTCGCCAAAAATCCAATGACTTGTACAATAACAAAATGTCATTGAATGTAACAAATTGAAAGTCAAATTTAGAAACATCAAAGTCAAAGCCTATTATGATAAGAATATTTTTTTTCAATATCTCCAATATATTAGAATTCATTGAAATATTTTGGATATTTTTCCTGAAATTCTGTTTATTCCAGGTGTTCCAGAATACTACACAGTTACTCTGTCCTGTTACTAAGTACTAGTGCCGCAGGAGTACATTTGACCTCCTGCTGCTCAAGTGCTTATCAATGGGAACAGATAAAATGCAATCACTGAATGAAACCTCTCAAAGAAAAAACCTCCAAAGTATGAAAACTTAGTAAAAAAACACTTACTGGAAGAAAACCCAATGCTGAGACCAATTTTGTCCATCGCAGCTAGTCAAGAAATGGAATTGAGAGCTGATACATTGATGATAAGGATCTTTTCTCTGATTTGCTGCTACAATGTGGTGATTTTTATCAAACTGATGTTGATGCAAAGGTAATTAATTATTTCCACTTGTTTTTTTTAATCTTTATTCATCGCATCGACCCCTAAAGTTATCAAGAAGTAATTTGTGGTATGAGAGGTATAGAATTGTTACAATTTTTTGGTAATGTTGAGTGACAATAAACTCAATGTATCAAAATTGTCGATAATGTTTAATGAATAGTTTGAACTGTCGATAATTTATAGATAAGTCAAACGTTCTAAATAGTTAAAACGGTCCAGAAATTAAAACCATTCAACTAGTACCTTAGTAGAAATACAAAGCAGGGCCTGGCACAGTTTTGCATATAACCTCAAATTTGTTTTTGCATAAGAGTGTGTATATGCGCGGTGTGAAAATATGGAAACCCTAAAAATAATGCGGGTGTGGTGATAAAACAATAAATATAGTTTAAAAAACTAAAAAAACACTCTTTATAAGAACATCGATATAAAAAGTTGAAAATAATTTTTTAAATGAGCTTAAAACAATAACGAACAGAAAATACTAGTATTATTGTGAAAAAAGCGACGGGCGCCTGATATACAAAAATATGCCACAAAGTGCCCACAAATATTTTTTCCAATTTCTAGTCCAATTTATTGTCAAAAATATTTTATTTTTCAAGTTCTAGTCACTAGTATTATAAATCTTCAACAGACGGCGCATGAATGTAAAATTCCTCTCAAACAACATAATAAAGTTTGAGGTCTCAAACTCAGTAGTAATACTGAGATGCAATTAGTCTCCAACAGAGGGTGCACAGATGTAAAATTTGTTTCGAAGTTAAGAGAAAATTTGCAGTAATATTTTCAAAAATCAATTCAGTCTTGATGTTTTGATTTGAACTTTTACTGAATCACGGATAATTGTAAATATTTAAATATTTCATCTGTAGTACAAAATTTCGCTAACACTAATGATTCTTAAAAAATATGTTTTTTATTTTGATTTTCTTTTGAACAACCTATCAAGGAGGTTACCTACAGCGGCATCTGCCCGCGAATAGCCCAAGCAATAATTGATAGTTACGTACAGCGCCATCTGCCTGCGAATAGATCAAGAAATATCAATGAGGTTACGTATAGCGCCATCTACCCGCGAATAGATCAAGCAATAATGCCGATAATTCTGTCAATATAGATCCCGAGCTTGAAAGTTACAAATAAACATACATACAAACAAACATACATACATACATACAAGTGAAGCTAATATAAAGCGTGTAAAAAAGCGTTTGGTAGCGCAAACAGTTCGGTGTTGTCGGTTGTAAAATAAAGCATTGTTTATGGGGGCAATGTGACTCATGCGGCGTTGCCGTTAATTTTTGAAATTGAGCGTGGGTAGAGAAAAAATTACGTCGTCGACGGCGATGGAGGGCCTAACGTTACAACGTGTGATCCAACATGTCAAAAGGGCAGTAAGAGCTGCCCAAGTTGGCGTGTAAACTTAAAATTGAGCGTAGTAGAAAAAAAATCAAAATGACGTCGATGGTAACGTTTGTTATCGTTGAAACGGATCAGTTGAAACTCATGTGACAAACCGACACCTCCCACTCTTATGAAAACCCTTCCTCACGCTCTTACACACACACACACACTCTTGTGCCAAAACAAATTTGGGGTTATGTGCAGAAAGTCTGCCAGGCCCTGCTTTGTATTTCTACTGACCTTCACAATCCAAATCACATGCTCACATGAATGGGAAAAACTCACATGGATTGTATATAGAAGTAGTTTATTCTGGTGATTGTTCTGATTATTTCGCCTACCAAAGCTTCTTCATCAGAATGTATGAATCAAACTCAATTTTCACATTGAAATTCAAAATTCTATCTCCCTGTATATGCTATCGTTGTTACCAATGGGGAAAGTTGAATCTACCACACGCTCAAGTGTTAGGTTTCTAACACGTTCCGCGATCGTGAATTACCTAATGGACGTTTTTTTGCTGTGCTTAATCGTCGATTTTGAAAAAAAAAGAACTAAGAAACGTTTTGTAATATCTGAAGATACAGAAATTTAAAACTTAGCCTACTTTGAGGTAAATCCAAATAATTCCATTAGAGAAATAGCTGTTCCACCGTCTGTTACTCAACAAATTCTGGAGAAACATACATTTTCTTCTTATAAGTTAAGACCAGTGCAAACACTAGGACCTGGTGACCTCGAGACACGATTGGAGTTTTGTCAGTGGCTTATGAATAAATGCAGATAAGATCCAAACTTCTATAGAAATATTATATGGAGCGATTAGGCTGATTTTTCAAATTATGAAATGTATAATAGAAAGAATTTTCATTATTGGAGTGGGCATAATACATTTCTAGTCCATCTCCACAATCCGCAAAGACTATTTAGTATATGTGGTCTATTTAGAGGCAGAATTATCAGTCCATTTTTCTACCATGGTTCTTTGGCCGGATCCCGTTACACTAATTCTTTAACAAGAGTGTTGCAAGAGTTTTTCGATGATCTTGATCTGGAGGATTGTTAGATGATCTATTTTTAGCAGGATAGAACATCAGCACATGATTTCAGTGGCGTAAAAATATTGGTGTAAGACTGTTTTCGAAAACGGATGGATTGCTACAAATGGTCCTGTTGAGTAGCCTTCTCGTTCACCAGACATGACACCTCTAGATTTTTATTTTTTTGGGATTTCTGAAAAATAAGGTGTATAAAATAAAGCGTAAGACTGTTTTCGAAAACGGATGGATTGCTACAAATGGTCCTGTTGAGTAGCCTTCTCGTTCACCAGACATGACACCTCTAGATTTTCATTTTTTGGGGATTTTTGAAAAATAAGGTGTATAAAATAAAGCATAATAATGTTATTATATTGAAACAATAGAATTTATGACCGAATTGTGTTGAAAACTTCACATAGTTTCAAGGGAAGGGCCCAAATATGAGTTCAACAAAAAGGCGGTGTTTTTGAATATTTACTCGATATTTTATAGCTCTTTATTTGCCAAAACAAAGGAATTTTTGGTACTGGTGAAAGAAACATATTTCCACATAAGTCGCTCATTTTCAACTTTAGGAAGGAAGGTGATATGTGCTTTGTTGTTGAGAATGTTATTATGAATTGAAATGCATGATGAAATATAGGGTGTTCCATTTAAAAAAATATAATTTTGTGAAGTATTTTTTGTTTTCGGCATCGAGAAGGCCATTGAAAATGCTACTAGTTTGCCTGTTCAACCGAATTCGTAGCATCAATAATAAAGGAGTTGACAATGGTGCCGACTTACTTTGGAACACCCTGTAGAGTGTAATTCACAAACTCACATTAGAATTATGCCAGGTAATACGTGGAGATATATCAGGTGTTACATTTGATTCCGGTATAACTGGAATTGTTGAGAAAACGATATTTATTTTCATTCGATAAAGCATATGAAAAAAACCTATATTTGTCAATTTTCAGGATTCGAATCCTATTATTTCCCAAAATACCGCTAATCAACGGTCATTATGCTGTACCCTGAATAATGAAACGGTGTTCTGTAAAAATTTTGCAATGAAGTGTTGTTTAAATTCGTAGTCAATTCGAGTTTTTCCTATTTTTTTTCATTTCTGACTTTATATCTTCGAAAAAACAAATTATTTCATCATTATCGAACAAAAACAGTATTATCTGCATTGAAAAATGTTCTTGATTCAATTTTCAAGTTCATTAAGTGTCAAGTAAGAATCACGTAGGTACATACCTATTATCAAATCAAAAGTGGCCTGGAGTATTTCGATAATTGATAACAGTCGCAATTTTGAATGAAATGTCGTATAACAATGAATGTACTGTTTTTTTCTAATCAGTAATAACGTGTATCATATGGAAAATGGTTGTTTTTTGGAGAAAAATCAGTTATACCCTCTTAATGATATGTTCAGGTAACTATTTAGCGACTTAGATATTGAATGGGCATTGTACATTTAAAATATCTAAGGATATTTTCATAAACTGCACTTTACAATTTGATCTCCACAAACTTTATTTGAGAACTATATCAACAGTGATTTGAATACTACAAGTTGCTTCTTACACTATTATTTATATACCACAGGTATAGTTCAAATTAACGATATAGTGCAACCTTCCTTATACAGGGTGTCCCTGGACTTCCTCTTTTCCTTTCGGGAATGTATAGATGGGGTCAAAATATCACCAGTACTTCATATAACTTTTTTTCCTAAAAGTCTTCGTAACCAAGTTACGGGCCCTCGAAGTTACAAAATGAAAAATGTTTTTCTTTGATAACTTTTCAAGTGAATATTCAAAATCATCCAAATTTTGGTAATTGACTAAACAAATGAATTCCTTCGATGAGCTTTCATGCAGGAGTCAGTTGTTTTGCTACAAAGTCAGGAACGGACTACCCCCGATGGTCCACACCCCAAAACTTTGAAATGACAGATATTTTTCAGTATTTTTCAACAAAATAAGGTTACTTGGACAATTTTATGAATAAAAGTACTCGTGTGGAAAGTCGATCGGAGCAACGAGTCTTGATAAAAATGTAGTTCTACTCGACGACATCAAACCCGCTCGTCCACCATTATTTGAAATGAATAATTATCAAAGCAGAAATAATAATGATAACGTTAATTCAACAACATTTATAACAGCCCAACTGTTGACTGCAACCTCACGAATTGAACCGATTTATAGTCAATCCAGTCACTAATTATTCTGTCTACCGATGGCTCTTAAATTGAAATCAATATGGGAATGATCAAAATAGTACTTATCTATTTATCTTTTGATTTTCATCGAATTATTTTCCAGCAGCTTGACTGCATTAACCTTTCTCGATTTCATATAATTTCTAGAAACATGTGGATTCCTTTTCCGATGGCATTTCAAGTTAGCTTCTCCATATATTACTTTTTCAATCCTTTTCTGCCAGTCTTCTTCGGTAATATTAGATACTACTTTTTTAACCAGCTCTATTACCTTCTTATCAAATTTTGGAAAATTATTTTCACGCCTGATGTTTTGTTTCAATTTTCCCCAAGTAAACTCGATGAAAACACAAAAAGAGGGGGAACTCTCAGGGGAATACATTTCAGCTATTCTCTCAAGGGCATACACTTTTTCAAATGTTTTTGTCTGTAATACTCCAAGTAGTTGGGTTTCAGTATAGTTATCTTCAAAATACAAATTGGTATCCATTAAAAAACTTTGTATTTCATCTTTCCTCGAATTTTTATTCGGTACTTTGATGAGGTGTCGCGAATGATAGGAAGCGTTGTCAAGAACTATTATACTATTTGCATCCAAATTTGGGATCAATGTGTTTTCAAACTATTCCTCAAAAATGTTAGCTTCCATGTTCTTATAATAGTCAACACTGCAGTCCTCAAGTTTTTTCCACATAATTTCAAAGAATTCGGAACCCATCCTTTACTTCCTCCGCAATGCACAATGATTATTCGCGATCCTTTGTTTGTATGCATGTTAGGCGTACATATTCTCGAACCATCAGTCCACCCTTTCGTATTTGTGTCGTGAGTGTCATGCTAAGTTTCGTTCAAATAGAAAATTTTTCGTTGTTCTTGTCTATATTTAGTTATTTGATCTATGTATTTGTTACGCAAATCATCTATTCTTTTGCTTTCCATAACTGCTTGACGTTTGTTTATTATTTCAAATCTAAATCCTAGTTTCTTCATCCAATTCTGGAGAGTTTTGTCACAGCAGCTCCTGTTATGGCCGAAAGTATTCAATTTCTTCCTTATGATTTCAATCAGAGGTATCTCATTTCTTTTGTAACAGTCGTATATTGTTCTTTCTAATGATTTTATTAGATGAACATCTGAAGGTTTCGGTATTCCCGTATCACATCGCCTCATGCGTTCATAAGGTGTGTTTCTAACTATGTTACGTACAGTTGAGAAAGGAATTTTGGTCAAATCTGATGTTGCTTGTAATAGTTTATTTCCCTCAAAACCAAACTTGAGATGTAGATTCTTATATACATTGAAACATACTCTCCGTGTTTCAATGTTCAAATGCATCCGAATCTTATTCACTGGCATCTCTTTTTCGAATTGTTCACCATCGCTATTGGAATCACTACACAAGAAAAACTCTGCGCTGTTATCACATTCGTTAGTACTATTAGTATAATGTCCAAGGACGCCACATTTTAAACAGATAACAAAAATTTTAAGTAGTTATAACTGCACCACTATCGAATTGCAACACTCAAATCGCAATCAGTTCCTTAAATGAACATTGACAACATGACTCCTATAACCATCCTCGTATTCTATTCGACACCGTAACATGACATCAAATTCAATTTTATGACTCTTCAGCCAATCATAAAATTCGGTTAGTAAAAATCATCCAATACGAACCACCAAGCCTAGAGTTCACATTGACTAGTTGGCAGGGGCTTTATTTCTCTGTATTGGTTTTTTTGGCCGTTGAGATCGCCGACAGCTTTAACTATGCACAATATCGGTTGCTTCGACTATAACTACAATTGAGACTACCTCCATCGAATTACCTAAGCCCCCACAACTTTTATATACCTGAGGTACCTCTTCAATTATGATTACTTGTAACATATTACCTCACTTGTACATCAATAATGATACTTCCTTGTTTTTTTTTTTTGTTTAAACAATTTCAATAACGGTGATCTATTCAAATCCAGTTGGTCATTCATAAGAATGTTTGAAATTTTAAGTTTATTAATTTTCATTGCTGCCAAATGATTCAGTTTCAAACCTTCATTTTCTATGTGTAAAATTTCATACTCTTCGTTAAAAATATAATTTTCTTCTGACACATCATTTGAATATGTTGAACTTGATTTCTTACTTACATAGCTCCTATAATGTTCCTGCATTCGATTCCTAACTAACTTTCTCAACGTAATACTTGTTCTTTATACAATTTTAATATCTCGTTTCCTCAAAAATGAAGCCTTTTTTTCTATTGCTTTTCCAAAATACATTAAAGCTCTATAATTTTGATTTTGATCATCTAACTTATCAAAAGGAAAAACGTCTCGAATGGCTTTTGCGTAGACTTTTTTAGAAAATAGTTTGTTTAATAATTCAGCTTTGAATCCATTGTTTACTGCAATTTACTTGATCATATTGAGTTCTTTATTGATTGCTTGCCAACGGCAAGCACTATAGGTCCACGATCACCAAATTCTTTTGGTCTGAACTGGATGATCTGAACACCAAGGACATGTGCTTTCTACAGGACAACGCTACGTGCCACAAAGCTCATGCCACATTGGATACTCTACACTGCCAACGGCGAGCACTATAGGTCAATGATCACCAACTTCTTTCGGCCTGAATTGGATGATCTGAACACCTAGGATATGTGCTTTCATCAGGACAACGCTACGTGCCACACAGCTCATGCCACATTGGATATTCTACACTGCCAACGGCGAGCACTATAGGTCAATGATCACTAACTCATTTTCGCCTGAATTGGATGATTTGGACACCAAGGATATATGCTCTTAACAGAACGACGCTACGTGCCACACAGGTCAAGCCATATTGGCCAACAGCGAACACTACAGGTCAATGATCACTAACTTATTTCGGCCTGAATTGGATGATTCGTACCAACGACGTGGTTTTAACAGAATGGCGATATGTGCCACACTGCTCATGCCACATTGGACATTATACATTGCCAAAGGCGAGCACTATAGGTCAATGATCACTAACTTATTTTGACCTGAATTGGATGACCTGAACACCAAAGATATGTGCTCTCAACAGGACAACGCTACATGCGACACAGTTCATGCCACAGTAGATATTCTACACTGCCAACGGCGAGCACTATAGGTCAATGATCACTAACTTATTTTGGCCTGAACTGGATGATTTGGACACCAACGACTTGTGGTTTCAACAGAACAACGCTACGTGATACACAGCTCATGCCACATTGGATATTCTACACTGCCAACGGCGAGCACTATAGGTCAATGATCACTAACTTATTTTGGCCTGAATAGGATGATTTAGACACCAAAGACTTGTGATTTTGACAGGATGGCGCTACGTGCCACACAGCTCATGCCACATTGGATATTCTACACTGCCAACGGCGAGCACTATAGGTCAATGATCATCAACTTATTTTGGCCTGAATTGGATGATTTGGACACCAAGGATATGTGCTCTTAACAGGACGACGCTACGTGCCACAGAGCTCATGCCACATTCGATATTCTACACTGCCAACGGCGAGCACTATAGGTCAATGATCACTAACTTATTTTGGCCTGAATAGGATGATTTAGATACCAAAGACTTGTGATTTTGACAGGATGGCGCTACGTGCCACACAGCTCATGTCACATTTGATATTGTACACTGCCAACGGCGAGCACTATAGGTCAATGACGACCAACTTCTTTTGGTCTGAATTGGATGATCTGAACACCAAGGATATGTGCTTTCAACAGGACGACGCTAAGTGCCACACAGCTCATGCCACATTAGATATCCTACACTGCCAACGGCGAGCACTATAGGTCAATGATCATCAACTTATTTTGGCCTGAACTGGATGATTTGGATATCAAGGATATGTGCTCTCAACAAGACGACGCTACGTGCCACAGAGCTCATGGCACATTGGATATTCTACACTGCCAACGGCGAGCACTATAGGTCAATGACGACCAACTTCTTTTGGTCTGAATTGGATGATCCGAACACCAAGGATATGTGCTTTCAACAGGACGACGCTAAGTGCCATAGAGCTCATGCCATATTGGATATTCTACACAAGCGATTTGGAAGCATGGTTATCTCACGTGGAGGTGATGCGAACTGACCAGCGATATCGTGCGATTTGACCCAGTTAGACTCTTTCTTGTGGGGTTTTCTCAAACCGCAGGTCAGTCATGTAAAATTGGACGTTTCAGATGCGCTCCACCCAGAAAAGCCATGGCGGACATTTGAACATCGTTATATTCCACACATAATGGCATCAATAGGTTTTCCAAACGAATTATAACTGTGGCAAATCACAACGGAATCATAAAACTTTGTTTGAGCACTTTGTTAATGTTTTGCATTCATCATGAAAATTTATCACATCTACTGTCAGGAAACAGATTATAACTATAAAAAGTAATTTTTGTTTTTATATTTTCAGTGGATCTCTTGGCCACTTCAGGAGATATCACGATGTCCTGGACCTCTCCCATGTTAACGAAGCTGAACTCCACCGACAGCTCCATTAACCCTTTGTCCAGACGAATCACCGACAACGAAGGAGCATGGATAGGATCCCTCATCAACATTGGAGCTATACTGGGCACAATACCTATCAGCTATCTAGCAGAAAAATTCGGCAGAAAAATCGCTCTCCTCTGCATAGCGGTACCCCACTTCACCTCATATTTATCAATGGCCATCGTGAAGGATGTGAACATATATTATTTCGGAAGGCTATTTGGAGGAATATCAGTAGGAGCAGGATACAATTTACTTCCGATGTATATAGCGGAGATAGCCCAAGAAAGTCAAAGAGGACCGTATTCTGTCACTTTGGGAATATTTTGGGCTTTTGGCAACTTCCTCCCGTACCTCATCGGATCGTTTCTCTCAGTTTTTTGGTTCAACTTCGTCCTGGCTTTGTTTCCTTTAGCGTTTTTCATATCATTTTTATTCTTGGGAACGGAAACTCCTTATTACCTAGTTAAAACGGGCCAGTTGGACAAAGCCGAGAAGGTCCTCATGCTTCTCAGATCCTCAGGCAAGGACGAAGTGGCAGGTGAGCTCAGTCACATCAGAACTACGCTCGCCAATGAAAAACAAGGAAATCTGCTGGATGTCCTCAAAAGCTCTGGTCTGAGAAAAGCATTGATCATTTCTGTTTCCCTTCTGGCCTTCCAGCAATTCTCTGGCATCAACGCGATCACTTTCTATCTCCAACCGATCTTCGAATCGTCAGGTACAGAAATACCTTCGGACATAGCTTCGCTTGTGGTAGGGGCGTGCCTATTTTCCTCCAGCCTCGTGGGTCCTTATGTCATTGACAAGTTTGGTAGAAAAACTCTGATGATTTCTTCCTGCAGCATTATGGCACTTTGCTTGATTTCAATGGGAGCTTTTTTCTTCATCAAGGAAAAGACTTCTTTGAGTACTGAGCCGATATTCTGGTTACCAATAACGTCTCTGGTCCTGCTGATCCTAGTGTTCCAAATTGGAGTTGCTGCGGTACCTTGGACAATATCTTCGGAATTGTTTCCTAGTGACTTGAAGCAACTTGCAGCTTCCGCTACCACTTTCAGTTGTTATTTTACTTCTTTTATTATAACCAAATTCTTCACCGATATGACCACTGCTCTTGGAACTGGGGAAACATTTTGGTTTTTTGCAGTTTTCAGTATACTTTATGTCATTTTCACTCTCTTTTGTGTTCCGGAAACTAGAGGAAAAACGTTCATGGAAATTCAAAATATCTTAAGAAAAACTTCGATTGTACCTAGTAGAAATAATTCCATATTGTAGATGCAGACAAATTCGAGATTCAGCATGGGAATCCCGAGAGCAACAAGAGAAAGAGAGAATGAGAGAGAGTCGGTAGAAAGATTGTTAAGTTGCCTATAACATTGTACTTTGTATATATTGTTTTGTTATACAAACATTGTGATAAAAGTTCTATTTGTATACAGTGCATTTCTTAAATTCCCCTCCCCCTTTTTATTTTTTGAACGGATCAACTCAAAAAATTGAAATTTCCGATAATGGACTTAATGCATGAATACTTTATTTTGAAGTGAAATTGACAGAAGAAACTTTTAAGATGGCGACTGGGCGTCATCTCGGAATAAAATTGAAAGTTAAGGGGGTCTTGTGACATTAAAGCTCCTGACAGATGCTTCACAACACTAGAATATAATGTCAATATCTCCAACTTTAACAAAATGGTGGAACTTTTAATAATTGCCTGAATTCAATGACATTTAACTGCTCACTCGAAAACTCACTGATTCCTGGACTGGATGGACTGATGTATAGTTAACAGCTTATATCTGCGGGTAGCTTCATTCCGCACGAACCATGAAGCATTCACCAGCATCCTTAGAAATTTGTTATGTAATCTATCCAGAATGGAAAGCACCTGAAGCATACATAATGTATTGTAAATGTACATTGTATAGTAAAACCTTATTTCTAAGGTTGAGGTTTCAATGTCCAGAGAATAGAGTTTAACTATCGTCGACTGAACCTTGCTCTTGATGTAATCAATGTGATTTGCCCAGGAGAGTCGGCGATCTATCCAAAGACCTAGGTACTTGACTCGTGGTTGGCATTCGATGTCCCTGCCTGATATCGTGACCTTTGTGTCTGGGAAAACGTTACGTCTGCCCAAATATATCGCCTGAGTTTTAGCTGGGTTTTACCCGAACCTTCCATTCGAGGTACCAGCGTTCGAGGTCATCCAATGCACGTTGAATGTAGACGACTGCCAACGCACGACCCATGGGAGAGTCGAGGAGAGCTGTGTTATCGGCTTGAAGGGAAACCTTCACGTGGTTGAACCTCGGAAGGTCGCTCACGTAAAGGCTGTACAGTAGTAGAGACAGTACAGCTTCCTGAGGCACTCCAGCTTGGATTTTCCTGACAGGAGACAGGTTTTTTTTTACTTGAACATGAAATGTTCTGCCTTTTAGAAAGGACCTAATCCACCGGACAGCACAACACGTTCAGCCAACTTAGCATTTGAGCAAAGCAGAACAATCGGACGATGATTCTGGGGAAACAGCGGGTTCTGACCCTGTTTCAAAATCATGACAACTACGGCATGCTTCCATCTTCAAAGGAAGTATCTGGGGGCGATTGAGCTGTTGATGATACTCAGCAGGTATATCATGAAGTTCTCGGGGAGCTGCTTCAACAACCTATTGTTGATTGAATCAACTCCGGAGCCTTCTTGGGTTTGGCGGCCCTAATATATCCCCCTCAATTCTACCTCCGAAGCTGGACGGATAACTTGGTCATCATTTTCTCTAAGGATACGCCGAACCTGGTGTTCCAGCGGGATATCCCGGTCGATGTTATCATCCGGATCAACGTTAAGCTGGAACTTACTCTCCATTGTATCTGCAAACGCCAACGCCTCCTCGGTAGGGAAGTAGCAGATGCCGAGCAGTCCGTAAAGGGGGGAGGTAGCGTTTTTCCTCTTCTCGAGCCTGCGGATGACTCGCCAGAACTCATCATCCCCAGGTTCGAACGATTTCAATTACACGCTTCACCTCTCGTTTCTATAGTCAGTGATACCTTGTTTAACTCGTTCAGCCATCCTGCTAGCCGCAGCTTTGTCTCCAGGATAAAGAGTCCGCTGATTAACTCGTTCGAGTCGGTTTTTCTTCCGGATAAGGTTCTTTATCCTGGGAGGAAACTCATTATAGTTTCGTAGAGGACACTCCGTCCTGGTTGTGACTGCGTGAAAATCATTGTTCACAGACAACTCAAAATCCTCCACCGCCGCGTCGAGACTGTTACGAGTTTGAAGAGCCTCACGGTCTATACTTGTCTCCACTAGATGAGCCTTGGAGGCTTCCCAATCCGTGGATTATCTCACGCGATATTCCTGGGGAGGGGGATCATCACCCAGCATCAGGATGACTGGATTGTGATCTGAGTCAAGTTTCAACAAAGTGTAAACTTTTCAATAAGAGAGTGTGTGTTCGGCGAGTCTTGGCCTACACCTGCCGATATAAAGGGGATTTTATTTATTTTATTTATTTTATTTGGCCTTCCCACCTTCCTGGAAAGGACAGGATGGACGATGACCTAAGAGGACAACTCCTCGGGAGGATGTACAATGGGTCACATGTGGCCTAAGTGTTGTGGGCTTACACTTATCCTCCCTACTCTACAGATACAGAAGGGAAACTGAACGAAGATTTTCTTCATCTGGTCCAGAGTGGTACAGATATCACTAATCTCCGACGGATAAGGACTACCGGATGACGCGGTCGGCCTGTCGGAGGTGTTACCGCTCTTGGGCGCTCCTGCGTAGCTCATTCCCGGGCATGCGCCAGATGCTCCGGCAGGACGCCTTCCAGGTGTGGGTGTACTTCGGGGGGCACCTGCACCTACTTTGGTCCTCCTACGAACCTTGGGGAACTCAGAACAACTGCTTTAGTTCTTAATATGCACACCATTGCAGTTGTTGCACTTCAGTGGATCTGCTTTTTGCACTCACCTAAAAGGTGTCTGTCGGCGCACTTGACGCTAAGCAGTTCCTTTGGCAATGCCGGAACCGCTGACATCTGTGACACTGCCCTACCAGTTTTTTGTGGTGTTGGGGCTCAACCTTAACTATAACGTTAAGAAGATCCCGGACGTCGTAGATATGGGACGACGACGATATGATTTTGGTTCACTTGAACCAAAATCAGAGGAAACGGGCGGTTTTCTCGCATCATCTTGGTAAGGGATGATGGTTGGAATAGTTTTTCCACCAAGGCGTCCTCGATGTCAGCGGTCTTGTTGTTAGAGTTGTGACATGTACATTCAATTAGTGATTATGTCAGGCTTAATATATCCAACTAAAAGTGATTGAATTTAAAACTATGAATTTCAACTTCAAGTGTCAATGAAATTATTAATTAGCAATGATGATGATTGACTTTCATCTTTTCAATCAATATATTGAGATTCTCAACTGAAAATTCCAATGTACAGATGCAGAAACAAAAAACAATGGACGAGCATAATTGAAATTCTCAACACCAGTTATTTTTGCTGATACATCTGGATTAGTGAAAAAGCGGCTGCAGTATTTCCGTCATTGGTACTTTCAAAACTGGGCTTTGGTTTATCTACGAATAGACCTAACTCATGTTGGAACTGATTTTGGATATCTTTTTTTGTAGTCGCTACAATTTGCTTGTTTTTCTCTCCACGGGCTTGCCATATCTTCAACGGTAGTTTATATGCAAGGTGTAGTAGACATTCGAAAAACCGTATCCATGCATGAAGCACAGATAGGCCAAATTCCAAGTTCGGTTACAAAGGAGATTTTTTCAATACTATTGAAATATTTGCATGTGAGACCACAGGTAAAACATGTTTGTGTTGATGTAGTTTCCGTGAGTGCATTACACACCTTGCCGTCAACCATTGTGAGTAGCAATTTGAAATTTAGCTCAATATGAGTGTTATTGAATTCATATGTCAGTGGCCGCAATTGCTGTATTTGTGCATCTATATATTCAATTTCACATCTGGATAATTCTTGGGTTTCATGCTGAAACTGAAATCTTATTGGTCTACAATACCATGTAGAGGAACTTCTTGTGTTCCACCAAACAATAATTTCTTGTTGCTCTTGTTGTTCTGAGGTTGTTCTGAGTCTAATAGGTACAAGAGAGGAAATGAAAATATTTGCATCTCTAGCATTTAGATCACTGTCGAAATTTTTTTTTATATTTTGCTTGTCCTGATTCATCAAACCCCCACTTACAAATTAAAATCAATTTCTGAAAGGTCTTGGGTGTCTTTCTACTCAAAACGTGCTGAGCATCCAGGAGGCGTGAAGCGGTATGATTGAGAAGAGCTTACAGTTGAACTTCGGCAGAAGTCTCTGTTACTATAATGCTGTCCTTATTAGGATAACATTCCTTGGATCTTCTTATAAGATGGAACTCTCTCCTTATCTTGCTCTCTTATTGAATTATATTGCTGTCTTGTCAGTTGGGCTTCAACATACATAGTCAGAGCCTCTGCTCCTGTGAGTTGTCGCTTTTTGGGTACACTATAGACTTGAAATCAGTTTTATACTTCTTCCCTCGCGTCGGAGTTGCTTGAGTGACATCCTTCACCACACTAGGTGCTGCAACTTGACCAGAACATCGCAAACTCACATGAGAGGCGAGAGATAATTCTTCGGGCGTGAAGGTTTTTCTTAGGGACTTCGTTTTTTGGCGTTTTGTTCTCTCTGAAGATGCGCTGAGAGTAATTTTAGGTCTACTTGCTTTCTCAGATGAAATGACGAAATTCGAAAAACTTATTGAAGTATTCAGCCAGTTTTCGTTTTTCATAACAAATCTGTCATGAATTCGATTAGATCTCTGCCATCTTTTCTTGGAATCCAGGGCAAAGAACGAAATTTTTTCATGAAGTGAAGGTAAACCTTGTTTTGGACACTTTGTACGCATTTCGACGAAATTTTTCAAGGCGTTGACTCACTCTTCTAATATTGAATAACCAGAACCATTCATTGTATTGAATAATTCCCTTCTAGTTATACATATTTTTGAGGAACCCGCTCCTAGAAACAACAAAAAACGATATTTCTCAAACTGACAATTGGTATTGTTAACTTAAAAAGATATTTTCTTCGAATAGAGCAAATACGTGCAACATTTTTTTTTGTTATTATGTGATTACATGCTACAAAGATCATTCGGAAATGATAATTGGAAACATCATTTGCTCTAATTACAACAGANTATTATTTGTAATGACGTGAATAAATAAAATATGGTTCAGTTTTCATTTCTATTTATTTTTACTTGTGAAAGGTAGAGGGAATTATAAAATCTATAATGTCCCAAGGGAGTTATGACCCTCTTTATTGATAGCGTAACTATGACGATATAAGCTTATAATATCCCGGTCAGAAATAAACAAATTAACGATGCAATGGTTTGACAACTTTCACAACAGCAAAAATAGCTAAGTCAAATCAAGTTGAACAGAACGCCTGCTAGATCTGGGCTCCAATACGTATTGTCTCGCATGCAGACATTCAACTTTAAAATCGTGTGTTATTTGACTCCGGTTGCTTGTTTTCCTTTTTGGAGTTCCTGCCAATAATTGGTATATTTGGCCCCAGTGTGCACCGGTTGAGAACCCCTGTTCTAGATCCAAAATTTTTCATGTTTCAATACGAATGTAATCAACAATTGATGAAATTCGCTAATTGATCAAAATATCGAAGTGAATAGATTATGAAAAACATTTAATATAATCTTTATAGAATAATTAACAAATTGTTCATTATGTACATAAATTATGTCAAAAATCAATAATTCATTCAACATTGTCAAGTACTGAAACATACTTGAATAAATCAGTTCTTCAATATATACAGATTGAATGGTACACAAGATGATTCAAAATTCAGACTGGAGAATACCTGAGAGGCTAATCCTCAACCAGCAGGAAAAATTTTAATTTGTGTGTAATCGTAATTACAGCACTTTTTTAAACTCACTAATCACTATCTATCAATTTCATCTTTCTCATTCATTATTCTACTATTCGTAGTAACCCAAAGTCTTCAATTGATTTAAATCATCTTGTATGGAACATTCAATCATCTAAACTCACGTTGATAAAAACAATAAATAGAATGTTATAAAACAACAGACTCATTTCTCATCTGCATCACCACTCAGGATATCTTGAATTTCTTGTAAACTCTTTCCCGTCGTTTCCGGCAACAACTTGTAGACGAAGACAGCAGAAATGAAGCAGCATACTCCGAAGAATCCGAAAGAAATCGATTTGCCCGAATCACCGAGCATATCAATGACGGCTCCGAAATAGTTCGTCAAGAAAAAACCCAAAACCCAGCAACCTGAAGCTGTGACTGTAGAAGCCGCCGATTTGATGTTTCCAGGAAACAGTTCTCCCATTACAGCCCAAGGAAGAGGCCCGAAACCAAGACAATAGGTTACGATGAAGAGCACCAAACTGGCTATCGGCAGCCAAGATAGTTTGGAAACGTTACTGTGCTGAATGTCCTTCAGAAAGAAGAAGTACGCCATTGCTGCTTGCGCCAGAGTCATGCCGATACCTGAGAGGATCAGCAGGAACCTCTTTCCTCTTTTCTCCACAAGCAAGGGGGTCGCCCCACTGGAAATCACCTGGACTATTCCAATGAGGATAGTGCAAATTTCTGGCGCCAAAGATACTCCCGCATCTGTAAAGACGTCCTGAGCGTAGAAGAGGATGATATTAATACCGCTCAACTGCTGCCAAACGACCAAACTGACTGACAGAAACAATGCCTTGGTCAATCCCTTGGACTTGAAGATATCGAAGAAGCTTGCCTTATTTTTTTGGTCGGCTTCGGCTTGAATTCGCACAATCTCTATTTCTTTCTGCACAGCGTTTTTACTCTTTCCTCTCAGCTTTATCAAGGCCTCTTCCGCGGCTTCGTTTTCGTTATTTTGAATCAGATAGTACGGACTCTCGGGGATGAAGAAGAAGAATAGGACGATGAAGAGCGCTGGAGGTACCAGAAGAACAATGTTGAATGATGATATGGATATGTATGGACCCAAAGCGTAGGAGAAGAGAATGCCCAAAACTATGAACAGCTGCATGAAAGAACCCAGGGTGCCTCTCGTTTCGTCATCTGAGATTTCTCCGATGTACATGGGCAGAGCTGTGAAGATTATTCCTACGCCCAATCCGCAAAGGAACCTGGACAAGTAGAAGTGGTAGACGGTGTCTGCGACAATATTAGTCACAAAGGCCAGAAGGAATGGTATTGCTCCTATGAGGAGGGTCTTTTTCCTGCCGATTCTGTCGACGATGAATCCTGCTATGAAGGGACCAAAGGCTGCTGCGAGAGGTAAGAAAGATCCGACCCATCCTTCTTCAGGTTTCGTCAAGAGGTGGTCCAACGGGTTTCCATCTAGTTGCTTTAGTTTAGGTATTTCCGGAGACGTCCAACCGAATGATAGGCCGCAGGTGAAGGCTGCCAAGTTTCCTGAAACAAAGTAGAAAACTTAGTTTGTACACTATTCCAGGTATTACTGATTTGAAAGAAAAAGTATGACTTATTTTACAGAGACGTAACTCAATAGGATCTATGAAAGACTTCGGTCATCAAAGATAAATGAATACAACTGTTTACAAAGCATATAAATTAAAGCAAAAAATCAGTTTTTTTTAGTCTGACCTAAAGATTGCGGTAGTTTGAAAAAGTACACAATCTATGAAACATATGTTTCAAGTTTGAAGATGCTGCGTTCTATAGTATTTGTTTGACAGCCATCAATAGAGAAAATTTTTGGTGAATTTAGCTCAACTAATATAAAAGCTGAACTGGATTCTATTCTGGATAAGTCGGTGCCTTCGTTTATAGCAGTAAAATAATAAGTAGCAGAGTTTAAACGAAGCTGTACGAGCCGCCAAGGCAAGCATCGCAGTGGTCGACGAAATGGGGTGACGACTCCAGAAACGGTGAAGGAAATACACAAAGTGATACTGAATGATCGTTGACTGAAAGTGAGCGAGCTATGATCTCTCAAAAGTGTGCGGTTGGAATATGATATTTAAGCAAAGATTAGCAAAGAAAATTCAGTTTTCTATTACGTTTTGTTTTTTATCACATGCTTTTTCAGGATAATATTTATGATTTGCAATTGCTTCAAATAAACCAATCATAATATGTAATGTATTATTTAGTTTCTTTCGTTACCACTTATAACTGTTCTTATTACAGATATGATACTTTGGATTCAAGTAACTAAATACATCCAAATGAGAGGGACAGTTTATAAACAGAATCATTAGTTCATCTTTGATGAAGTGAATGAGTTTATTCGATTTATAAAAATAGAAGCGTTTCAATGAAAAATGCCTCTCTTCAAAGGAAAACAATGTATTTCTCATACGGAGATATTTAAATAATGTTCCAAGTAAACATATCATTCTTTCGAAATCCAAAACAGTTCTGCTTCGAAATTAATTTTGCTCAGACTAAAGAATGCATACTATTTGGAATAATGATTCAAATTCAACTTGAGGGAATATGTTTCTCAGTTTAAAAAAATATTTCTTCATGAATATAGGAGAGCAAGATTTCTTTGAATCGAGATGATGTTCTTTTTTGAGATTTTTATTTTCACTGTGTAGGACCTCTATTCATGGATCAAAATTCAACAGCGGATCTGTATTTGAATATTCTGGAGACTTCTGTTGATCCTCTCATCACTGAAATCGTCGAAGCGAATCCTATTGAATTCGATATGAATATTAATTGAAACGATTGGGATACTACTTTTGCCTGTCGTTGGATTAATCGTCTGGCCCGCTCGCCAGATTTGACACCTTTGGACTTTTTTATGGAACTATTTGAAGTAAAAGGTGTACGAAACTGAAGCAGCTTCAATATTGGATTTACCAGTTTTCACCCCTCTAGTATTCATGAGATTTTTTTCAGATTGTGTAAAGTGGATATTCCTAAAATGTCAAAAAACGAGAGATTCTTTGTTGAAGATGTCTCTTGTATAGTCCAATTATTCTTTAATAAATGCTGTCACACGTAGATCCCAAGAATGAAAAGAATTATTAGAGTCATTCAAACGTTTATTATTCTATTATGAAACTTGTGCAGCTCTTGACGATGCTATTTTTAAACTATGTGTAGAATTACGTGATGACCTTCGTCAAGTCTATTCAAATAAGGTTGATAATGTTTTCACCCTCGTCGAACAATATCTACTTGAATATTCGATAAACGAGAGAGCTGAAATGTGGAGATAATCTTAATTGGACATTTCTATCATCCAAGTAATCGATGATCGTGGAATACTTCCACGACACATGAATTATCTCAATAGAAATAGGCCTTTGACCTTCAGTTACAAAAACGAGTGATACAGATTTCCCAATCAATTTATTAGGCAGCAGTTTATCATTAAAATGACTTGAGAATATAACGAAGATCAGAATTACCTTTTTGAATTCCAAATAATATATCGTTTTCACATTAGTTTGTTGTGTACTTGTGACATCAAAGCCTGTTTCGGATTTCAAATCCGAAACGCATCAGATCTGCAACCCGATGATGGTGATAATAAATTATCTGAGTTTGATAAATATATCGTCTTCATGATCTTGAGGCGGATTTTCACCAAACGGACAAAACCACAAAAAAACAGCAACTCTGTCGATTTCGACAAAACAAAAACTTGAGCTGTCAAAATAAGAAACATTTTGAAGACTTTGTGTCACGAGCGACTGTTTTTGTCAACAACGAAATGTCCCGTTGGCAGCCGGAAAGATCAAAAAGTTTCGGTTTTTTGTCTGTGTTTTTGTAAACAGAGTTCGCTATAGAGAAAAAGATCGACGACAACAACAAGCAGTTATTCAGATATAACATATATCTGCGATTTGTATTCTGTTTGGAAATATTCGTAACTATCGACTATGAAATTTTTTGAAACACTTTCTGTCTTTCAGCAAACATATATGCACTTGGCACTTATTACAGTAAACAAGTGTTCTTTCCTTGCACCCTTCCAATTTACATCTTGAGTTATATTTGTTTTTATCATATTCCGCAATATGTTGATATTCATCATATCTAGAATCCTTCAGAGGCCTAGACTCATATCTGTTTCTTTGAGATCTACTTTCAAGGTCATCATTGGGAAGTTCCGTTGAAGGCATGCCCCTTTTTGGGGGTGTTTTAGTGAGTATGAGATGTTCAGCCACAGACTGACGGAAGGCTAGTGAATCTAGGATCTTTTGTTGTGGAAAACCCAAATTCGAAGCTTCATTTTTATATTTCAACCATGAGTTTGCTAATGCCAAATCTATGGCGTGGAAAATGAGCCTTATTTTCCATTTTCTTGATCGAACGTAGGAACGGTACATACTCAACAAAAAATCATGTTTATCCACACCTCCCATACTGCTGTTGTACCTCCTTACTGCTTCTGGCCTAGGCACTTCAACATATTCCTTTTTCGTTTTATCCCATCTCCTACAGAGGTCTTGCTCTCTAATACCAACAAAATTTGAGGCCAGGATGACCGATTTATTGTCGTACCACTTCGTAATTACTATGCCATCCTCACTGATGCATTCAGCAGAAGTTCCTTTCCCTTTCATTTTCATATCTTTATCATTTGGCGAACTTTGAGGACGAAAACGGTTTCATCTTATTGTTTCCACTGCAAATATTGACTTTGACCAAAGGTACTGAAACAAATTATAAGAACTGAAGTAGTTGTCAAAAAATAAGGTGTGATTAGGTTCGGTAATTCGATCAGAAAGCTGCATAACTGTAGCAGCTGATGCGCCAAAGTGCATATAGAGTGTGTTCATTTCTGTGGTTGATCCTTGGTAAATGAAGAAATCATAAATCATGCCACTCTCTCCAGCCAACACGTAAAGTTTCACTCCCCACTTCTTAGGTTTGTCTTGGGTATATTGTTTGATATTCAACCGGCCTTTGAAAGGGATAATTTGTTTATCGACGCAAAGATTGCGTTCTAATGGCAGTTCCTGGTATCTTTTCCGTAGGATATTATATATATCGCACTTTCCACAGCCTATCTGTATCAGTAGCTTCTCTACTAGTTACATCAACCAAATGCAGAGTACGTCTAAGTTAATAAAACCGTTTCAAAACCATATTATCTTTTATGATTGAAATTCCATATGCATTGCTCAAATACATTTGAAATCTGGGAAACTGCAAACTTTCCATAATTATATGCATCCCAATAAATTTTCTCTCCTCTTCAATAATTGTTGGGGGAAATCTTGCTATATTTTGCTGATTATCATACAGATTCGTCATATCCACCATTTTTTCAAATACACTATTCGGGATGTACCGTATGAAAAACTCTACTGGTCTAGGCAAGTCAATTACAAGTTCAGTTGAGTTATTTTCATTTTGCCATTTGACAAATCTGGTTTGATATTGTGCATGAGCCACCCACACAATATCTCCTTTTTTGGTGAGATTGTGCGGGTTATAAAAATTTTCAACATAATCAGCCTCATTTACATTGGGTCCCGCCGTGAGCGGCACAGATTCTGCCGTTGGTCCTGGTCTTGCCGTTGACAGGCTTTGCTCCACTGTAGACGGTGCTGGTCCCACCATTGATGGCCTCGCTACTCCATCCAAGCCACCATCACTTTGTCCATCGGCTTCACTCCCACTCTCCGGATCATCAACAGGTCCTTCCTCATCCATAAAGTCAGCATACTGACTTTCCCACTCATCCCATCCCAAATCATCGTCAGATAAAACGGCGATATCTGATAAATCCTCATTTTCCAAAAACAGCAGTAATTCCTCTTCTGTGAGAGCCTTTTGGTTTGGAAATGACATTTTCTGAAACAAAGAAAGTATTTATCCATTCTGAATATCATCTAAACGAATTTCTACCAAAAACTATTTTCGTCCAAAGTGCATTCGTCGCTGTGCAGGTACATGGTTTTTGCAATATATTTTCTAGGGCTTAAGAAACTTTCAGTTACTAACAGAATTCTGTTACAAAATATAGTATTTATACTTACCGAGAAAAACAGAGTAAAGCAGATAACCACAATTCCACTGAATGAGAATAAATAATCACGTGATACTAGTTACATATACTCGCTACATCGCCATGACATGACAACACATGATTGAATTCAGAACTTCTAACAACGATCCTAGAGCGCGCTACTTGTATAAGTTGATCGTTGTGGGTGTATCCTACACGGTACAAAAGCAGCAACGTCGTTCGTCTTAAATATTTTGTGATTTGATGCTGTAGAAACTGATGTACCTGGGTAGGTACAATTCCAGTGAAAAGGTGAAAAAGTATGTGAAACATATTTGTAGAAAAAAAAACAAACCTTGCATGTTCATTATGAATGCAATTGTATCATAATTTAATATACACATGTTTTGTTAGAGTCAATCTGGGTATTGGCAGATGGATAGTATTACACGGTTCTGTCTTGTGTTGTGGATTCAATGTGTATCTGGAGAATCAATGTTATATCTTCGAAAATGAAAATGTTGAAAAGAGTGAGGATTCGGTATCTAACGAAAAGTTGTCTACAGCTATCCCTATGGTTTACCCACATAAAAGCCGCAAAGATCTCTTTTGCAACACGAAGACCTGATTCAATAGTTGTTCACTACAGAGTCCCCAAAATGCAATGCCATACCTCAAATGAGACTCTACTAGGGCAAAGTAAGTCAAGTTTATTAGGGACAATTCTGACAGCAAGTGATCCCGAAGCCAATTTTGTGCATAAAGATGTGATATGTTCTTTAAATTTTAAGTTATTGTCAATATACAAACCTAAAATTCAGTGCAAGTCATTTCTTTCATCTTCCTACCATCTAATAGCAAGTTGTCATAGCTAAACTTGAAGTTTTCAATTTTGGTCTTGTCTACTTTGAAGGAGAGTAAATTAGAATCATACTACTGTTTGACTTCTTCTAAATCTAATGATATCATTTGTTTCAAGTTGTTAGTATTTTTTCATGCCATAACAATGTAGTATCATCGGAAAAAATTGTGAATGACCCTACAATATCGACTGTAGCAGGATCGTTGATGTATAATAGGAATAAAATGGGTCCTAGAACAATACTGCAAAGATGGTCTAATCTGAGCTCCATAAAGCATCAAAAGTTGCTGACATGTGTATAGTTTTCTAGTTCGGAACAGTGTTCCAAGCTTTTGAGAAGCAGTCTTTGCAATTGCAGCATAATGATTGTGCCATTTTAACCCCCAACAAACTTGTCGAAACAGAATGCGGAATTGTCTGACGTGACATTATTATATCCGGTTCGGAAACATTTATCTTCTTGGAGAAAACCGATGCCTGGGTTTTTGTGGCATTGAATCCTTTCCTTTTCATGAATTCCTACAGTATCTGAGATGGGTCCCCTGAGAGTTACATTCAAATTATTTCGGGGGTTTTCAGATGGTGGTTAAACCTCGTTGAATAACTCATTATTATGAGTACTAATGCTTTTTACATTTCTAAATATGTGATATTTCTAGAACATACAAGCAAGAAAGAGCTAGTACTTTCATATTGGCAAATAATGGGCTACATGATTCTCTCCAATTTTCATTCAATAATGTACTGAGGAATTTTTTCTACTATACAAATAATTTCTGAGCTGATGTTTTTTGAATTCGCAATTTTTGAAATCTTGTTTCATTTATTTGATTACTTCATTATTCAGACGCCGGCATGTCAAGTAGATAAAAAGCTTCTTTTCGTAGCTGGAAATATAATGAAATGATGAGAATGATGACATGTTTCATTAAAAACAAATTCAGAGGATAAATATAACAAACAACACATTGAAAATATGTATAAACATAATAGATACTGTAGAACATTTAACTGAATAGAAAAAGAACACTTCAAGAAGCCAATTAATTGCCTTGTTCCTTCCTTCCAAAGATTCCCCACATTTTTTTTCAAAGATGGAGAATTAGAAGGCTAAAACCTTCCTTTTCCAATTGGCGTCTTCCTTTTTTTTTTGAAAGATTTACATATTTTTTGTATAAAGATAGATAGAAAACCTCAACCTTTCTTTCTCAAAAATTAATCTCCCCTAAAAATATGCCCCTTTCAATAAAATGATTCCTATGGCCTAAATTTTACCATCATCATTATTAATTATTTTAATGTCTCAGTTTTGTAATATGTTTATTATGCGATAAGCATTTATTTTGTTGGTGAGGTCGAATCACATTGGAAAACGGATGTTCATCAATGTCACTACCGATTTAACATTCCAACAAATTTTATGATGGATCTAACAGTTCCTTTATATCTGAGGACGAGTACTCATTTCAATTGAAAACATTTTTATCAAAACTACTTTGCAATATTTCGCCGTGTTATGCTGCTTACAAGTAATATACTTGAAAAAAATCGTAATTGAATCATGAATATTATTGATTCATCAATCGATATGTATTTTCTGATATTGTTTCTGCGAAAGTTTAATTTAATGTTTGTGTATGTTTGTGTCTCTAGAATTCTAGAAACCTCTGCGCATTAATGTTTTCCTCAAAAAAGAAAGGACCAATGATTCGTTCGTTCAATATCCCACACCAGACGTTAATTTTTTGTTCATTGAAATCGGTTTACAACTTCAAATTTTACGGGGGTGTCTCCATTAAAAATGGGTCACACTGTATAAATTGTGAGAGTTCTATACGACAGTTTCCTAATTGTTGAGACTTCACAGTCTTCGAAAACTACTTGATTGGAGAGTTGAATGGTTTGATGAAAATACTTTTCAAAACATGCTCGTGTAGAGAGTGTGAAGGTTTTGAAATGTTTTCATATATTCCAGCCCACCCAAAAAATGAGACTTCTCTGTTTGGGCCACCCTGTATGAATGTTAAGAGATGAAAGAACACTTATTACTTTTATTGTTTAAGAATGTTACTATCGAAATAATGCGTCTTTTTTGAGAGTAATGAAGTTAGTCTCCATGGTTAATTTTGTTTTTCTTTCTCTCAAAAAATATGATGAAATAAGCTTGTTGGTTTTCACTTTTTTCTGTAGAGGGATTCACAAACACCTTCTTATTATTGATAAATATTCACAATTCAACAGTCATCCCATCTAGAAGTTCACTCCCTAACTTAAACAAAAAAAAACTCAAAAATTCTAACCTGCACATGCCGCCAAATACAGGAACAGTCTTCGAGGAGCACTGGCACTCAACATGTTGGAAGAAATGCGTACCGACTCACGGGCCGCATCAAAAGTGGTCTCCGGCAGCAAAGCAGCTTCTTTTTCGTCCCCCGCCACCTCTTCGTACTTGTAATCGTCCTTGTTCGCCATTTTTCTGCAATCATCAGGAGGATTATCAAAAGCCGTTTTTTCGTGGAGTAACCGATAGGTATGTTTATGTATTTAAATAGTTTTCAGTCTCGGAGACATCGGTTGAATGAGTTTTTTGTTGAGGATATAGTTTTTTTGAATTTCTTTTTCGTGTTTACGGAGAAAAAATCACTTTTTCACTTAAATGATCATTATTCTCGTTGTGCAATTCACAATTTCTGAAACTACATTCAGATAATGATGATGTGTGTGTGTGGTTTGAATTTTTTGGCTTTGGGAGAACCAAATAGCCAGACTGTTTTAATAACATTGTAACATTGAGGAGTAGCTCAAACATAGATTTTTCCCCTCGTTTTTTGCTATTTGAATTTTTATTTCTGTTTGTTTTTGTATTTATTNTCCGTGTGTTTGTGGATCTCTATTGCCTCCCGTACCAGTCGGCTATAGTATCCCTGGTTGGGGGCAATTAGTTCTGTGATTTCAAATAAAATTATATGGTCTCATCAACTAAGTGTGTGATCTGCCACAGCTGACTTGTCCATTTGGTTAGGCCTAACCAAAAGAGAGGAGTCATCTCAACTCTAAAGAAAGGGGCTCGGAGTATATGTGAACCAGAACATCTGGAGAGGGAACTGGAATACCTTGAAGTGACCTTGAGATCGAATGGATACAGTGCCTCTGAGACCAGAAAAGCCATGAAACCACGGTTCAGAAAGCGAAAAAGGATCAGATGGTTGCACGCGCATATCTATCGTTTATCCCTAGGGTCACGGACAGAATTGGAAAACTATTGGGAAAACACGACATCGAAACAGTCTTCAAACCCACGAGGAAGATACAACAAAGCCTCAGGTCAGCTAAAGACAAAAGAGACCCATTATCATCAGCAGGGGTCTATCGCATACCGTGCACTTGTGGAAAGGTATATATCGGAACCACCAAACGATCCATGGGAACAAGACTAAAAGAGCATAAAAGAAACTGCAGACTAGGCCAAACGGACAAGTCAGCTGTGGCAGAACACGCACTTAGTGAAGGAGACCACATAATTTTGTTTGAAAACACAGAACTAATAGCCCCCAACTAGGGATACCATAGCCGACTGGTACGGGAGACGCTTTATGAAGCCTAAAAGGTAGTCATCGGACAGCAAACTTTGATGGTTAAACCTCTGAAGAAGCTAGACTTCCAAAAATCTACGGCTTTCAAACTCGAAAAGCAATGACACTGGAATGCATGAGTACTCAATTTTGAAGTGAATGTGACAGATGAAACTTTCAAGAGAAGAAGAAACTTTCATCTGGGGAATGGATGAATGAAAAGGGGATCTTGTGATACATATTTTTGAAGCTCCTGACGAATACTTCATAACCCTAGAATATGAAGTCAATATTTTCATTTACTACAAAATGGCGAAACTTTTAATAATTGCCTGGATACATTGACATTTAACTACATAATATAAGGTAATGAGCGTGAGGTCAGTTCAGAAAATGCTCGAAATGCTCACCTTAAACTTCTTGACATATGAACAGCCTATCCGATATTTCACGCCGAACATTTTCGAACACAATATCATCAATATCGCTACAAATATTTATTATTCTCTGCTGTGATATCCAATATTAAAGCAGCCTCAGTTTCGTACACCTTTTTCTTCAATTAGCCCCATAAAAAAAGTCGAAAGGTGTCAAATCTGGCAAGCGGGCTGGCCATTCTGTAGGACCTTGACGGCTAATCCAACGACCGCGAAAAGTAGTATCCAAATAGTTTCTTACTTGTCTGGAGTAATGTGTTGGTGCTCCATCTTGTTGGAATACAATATCCATATCGAATTCATTAGGATTCGCTTCGACGATTTCAGTGATGAGAGGGTCAACAGTAGTTTCCAGCATATTCAAATACAGTTCCACTGTTGAATTTCGATCGATGAATAGAGGTCCTACAATATGGTTTCCCAATATTCCTGCCAAAACGTCAATTTTTTCTGGATATTGGGTATGTGTTTCCCGGTAATCGTGAGGGTTGGTGTCACTCCAATAACGGCAATGTTGTCTGTGAACATTGCTGTTTGAAAACATGTACATTCGCCACTAAACAAATATTGTGGAGATAGGTAGAATGCCTTGCAATGGTTTCCGTCATGATCAGTTAATTGGTGTACTATTTTAATTTTGTATAGATCATAGATATTCCTCTTCAAAAGCCTCCACATAGTAGAAGGAGACACCCCACAAACATTTGCGACGGAATAAGTAGACTGTTCAGGATTCACTACCATCTCATCAATTATTATTTGCACTTGCTGTTCTTCCGGATTGGACGGATGACCTGGTGGCTTTTTGTTATGTACACTATCGGTAGTTGTGAATTTGTATGTTTCCTCAAATATTTTCTACAGGTAAGACGATTCGGAAAACGTTCAATGAAAATCCTTTCGGTCTCGTAAAAGTTACACGTCGCACCGTAAATGAAAATTGCCTAAATTTTTTCTTCCAATAGACGAGAATTGGCCATTTTAGAGATTGTTGACATGGTACCTTTCTACTATTAAAATCGAAAACTAAATGAGAATATTCTAACTGAACAATGATGTTCATTGTCGTACTGACATTTTTTTTTTCGATTTTATAAACAAATAATAACTTAAGAAAATGTATCGGGTTGTTGGAATTGCCATATGGCAGATAAAAAGGAATATTTCCAGAAACATCGATATTAATTATTAAATGTTCTGTCATTTTAAAGTAGGTGAAGATATTGACTTCATATTGAAGGGTTGTGAAGTATTCGTCAGGAGCTTCAAAATGATGTGTCACAAGACCCCCCTTTCCATTAAATTTTTTTCCTAGATCACGCCCAGTCGGCATCTTGAAAGTTTTATCTATCATTTTTACTTCAATATAAAGTATTCATGCATTAATTTCATTATTTCAAGTTTCAATTCTTTGGGTTGTAAAACTGCGAGTAGGGAATACAATATACCAAAGACTACACTTCATTCCAAATTTTATGGGAAGTATCCTGTTGTGTGCAAAGCTGGAGCCCCTACAAGCCTTTCGAAGGAAGAGTAGGACATTTTAGTGAAGTGGATAGTGGAGGTCGGTAAAGTGGGATTTCCTGTGAATAAAGAACAACTATTGGAGAGTGTTCATGTACTCTTGAGTGAAAAAAAAAATTCAAACCCATTCAAAAACAAAGATAAAACCTGTTTGCCAGGCAGGCATTGGTATGAAGGTTTTCTCCGACGTCATCCTGAAATCTCCAGACGGATGACTCAAAACTTAGTCATGACTAGGGCTAGAATTACGGAGCGTAGCCTAAGAAAATGGTTTGAAGAAATCGAAACATATTTTAATGATAATTTGAAGGAAATATTGAAGACCCTCGAAGAACATTCAACGCTGACGAAACTGCATTTTTCTTATGTCCAAAAGGATCAAAAGCACTTGCACTGAAATGTAGTAAGAACGTGTATAATAGTACAGCAAACAATGAGAAAGAGTGCAATACAACTCTCATTACAGGTTCTTATCTTTTATGGGCTTTCTACTTTACAATTGTTCGTCTATTTCCTTCTACTTATTACACTAATTATGATTTATTTTTACAGCAAATGCAGCTGGAGAATTGCCGCCTACTATGGTTTTGTTAGCATACGAAAGAATTCCGCAAAGTGTTGTTGTCAGGCTGGATGACGGGAGAAAGTTTTTTCGAGTATATGTCGAACATTTTCCATCCATGGATAAAATCAAACATAACATACCATTGCCTGTAATATTTTATGTAGATGGCCACAAGTCGCATTTGACATTGCATCTGATTAACTTTTGTTCAGAGAAAGGTATCATATTGATACGTTTATTTCCTAATTCTACCCACTTACTCCAACCTATGGATGTAGGCGTTTTTAAACCTCTGAAAACTGGTTGGAAAAAAGCGGTCGCTAAATTCAGATTACAAAGTAATAAACAAAAAATTCGAAATGAAAACTTTGCACCACTGTTGGATTCAGTAATACAAAGCGTTGTTACTCCTGTAATGGTGCAAAATGCTTTTAAAACCTGCAGATTATTTCCATTTGAAGTGACTGCTCTGAATTATGATAAGCTGGAAACAGCAGATATTACACCACATGAATCAGAAATAACTGTGAGCAATGGTGATAGATGGTCAGGTCCAATTCGAGATGCATCTTAATATATTTAGTGGAGCAAACTAAAACTTCATGTAGAAGGAACATCTCCAGCAGTTTTACAAAATAAAGAGAACACCAAGCAAAATTCCCAATTCCATGACGAAATAATACCAGAGAATATTCTCGTTTTGGAAATCGAGTGGCTAAATGACTATTTGTTAGATACAACAAATGAAAACATTGAGATTATTGAATTTTTAGCAGACGAAACAGGGCAGGAAAGTTGTACAGGAATAGAAAGGATAAATAGTACACAAACGAACAAAGAAGAAATGATGGTGGAATCGACAGTAGAAAAGACTATATTACAAACAATTGAAAAAGATAACTTAAACTATGCAGAAGCAAACCGAAAAGAAATCAGGATCAATGCAATTATAGGAGATGGCATATTGCAACATGAAGGGATGGGAACATTGAACAGTACAGGAACAAATAAAAAAGAAATATTCTGTTGTAGAAAAATATAAATTGAAAGAGGCAGAAAACAAAAACTCAGACAATGCAGAAACAAACGAAGAAGTAATGAGAGGGAAATCAGTTTCAGGAAAACTGCAAGTGATGGAGATAGAAAAATCTACACACTCAAATGAAAAAAAAACACAAGAGACAGAAATAGAAGTTTCAGGCAATTTAGATACAAACGAAGAACACCAAATAATATTTTCAATGAAAGAACATATATCAACAAATGCAGACACAAACGAAAGGGTGAAACTCAAATCAATAGAAAACAATAATAATCAAAGTTCTAAGATATCCACTGGTAAGTTGCCATTTGAAGTACCTTCACCTTTCAAAAATATTCTGTTTTGGC